AAAGGGGCTGTAAAAGGCAGGTCAGTGTTGGCTTATAACAAGCAAGGGTATACTTCAAAACGAAAGTTTGTTCTGTATCACCAGCAGTCAGCCCAAGTCCATTTACATGCTAGCAACTAAGCCTGGCAGACTGAAGGACGCGCAAGTATTAAATGTGTTAAGCACGGCCCCTTGCATCAGTTATGAAGCATGAGCAAACCAGTGTAAAGAGCTCAGAAAATGAGGTATGGCTTTAAAATCGAAACCTTTGACAGTTAACTGCAATGCATTTACATTGATGTATTGGAGACTACACATTAACAGCGAAGCAAATTTTTTGCCTTAAATATTTAATGAATTTGAAAAGATGTTTGGGATCATGAGTTTATTAAAGCAAGATAGGGCAGTTGAGGCAAAAGCCGCGGACCTCTCGCGAATTCCGGGATCTTCGGGGCACCGTAGGGGGGGTGGGGAGAAGTGGGGGGGGCGGGGACTGTGTAGTCCTGTTTCCCGCCAGCGCGTTTTCCACTCTCTTCATCTATTGGCCGGAACTGGGCGGGGGGGCGTGGAAAATGCTTAACTGGGCGGAGAGTAGTTATATAAGGCTCGCGTCTTCCTTCCTTTGTCACTTGCTGCTGGCTCGTTTCAGGAGTAACCATGTCTGGCCGTGGTAAGGGTGGGAAGGGTCTGGGTAAAGGCGGCGCCAAGCGCCACCGCAAGGTGCTGCGCGACAACATCCAGGGCATCACCAAGCCCGCCATCCGCCGCCTGGCCCGGCGCGGCGGCGTCAAGCGCATCTCGGGGCTCATCTACGAGGAGACGCGCGGGGTGCTCAAGGTCTTCCTGGAGAACGTGATCCGCGACGCCGTCACCTACACCGAGCACGCCAAGCGCAAGACGGTCACGGCCATGGACGTGGTCTACGCGCTCAAGCGCCAGGGACGCACCCTCTACGGTTTTGGCGGTTAAGTTCTCCGATTTCGCTGCCAGAACCTCGTATTTCTCAACCAAAGGCCCTTTTCAGGGCCACCCAAACATTCAAAAAAGGAGCTGTAACTTCACAAAGGCTCTGAGCCTTAAGGTCTATATTATAGCTAAAATTGGTTGTTAGCTCGTGGGCTGCAGTGACATTTGCGATTAGGTCGGGTTTCCTATGTTGTGTACCAAGCCGGTAGCAAAAACGTAAGGTGTGAATAGTGATTGCCCCAGTCTACCCAATTCTTGCCTTTACGGGAGGGGTAGTTAGAGCAGAAAATGGAGAAAAAGACTCAAGCAAGATAGGAGATAGGGGATTTACCCAGGAACAAAAGAGAAGCGCCGCCCAATTGGTGAGACCGACCGGTAATTGTGAGCCAATCGGAGCTGATGATCTAATGCGAGCCGGCCCGGTGGGTGGGAGGAAGCCTGGCGGGTGGCTGGAAGGCGGGCGGGAATCACAAAGCCCTGGGTTTTGACAATGTGTAATTTGTCCTTTTTACCAGTTATAGTCTGTGAATAATACACTGGTTTGTCTCGGTTAACAATCTCAAGTGGTAGGCAGGGAAGGAATCCACATTCGAACTTGCCAGGAAAACCGTACTGGATTCATGGGGAATTAAAATTGGTCTTACGGTCCTCTCTTCTTTGAGTGTCAACATATCCCTCACTTAATAGCCATACTTTTTCCTCCTTCCCAGAAGCATGGAAAATAGGGTGGAGAGGTTCTAAATTAGTGTGTAGATGGTTGTACAACTAGGTAGTACTAAAATAGAGTTGACACTGAAGTGTAAATTTTATATGTAAACTATCTTTAGAAAGTTAAAACTATGTTTATAGGGTGGTCGGGCAGTCTTAGCTTTGTACATGTATGTTATATGCCATAATGTATATGTATGTTAAGTATATGTATGTTAATGTCATGTATGTATATAATATAAACCTGCGACTTCCCCTGACCGTCCTTTCTGGGCCTCACACATGTGGCAGAGGAGGTCAGACCTGAGGTGAGATCCGGACTGTGAAGGGGATCTCCAGCTAGACTTGGACACTAGGGGCTTGGATTAGTCCTGCCCATGGAATTTTTTTTTTTTTTTAAATATGTCCCTGACCCAATTAGCATTCCAGGAGTATGTCCAAACTTTAGAAATCAACTACAGAGGAGACTCGAATTCACTTGATGGCTAATAAAGTTTATTCTCATCTAAACATTGTCACAAATGCTTGTGTTCTTTTTCATATACTTTCAGAGTGCTGCTTTCATCCAGCCTCTACATTAGCTTCAGTGCATTGCTAGCCTTTTGAGTTTGATACTCCACCCTCCCTCCCAGGGGTCCTGAATAATTAAAGTTACCTGACTTAATTTAAACTGATAATGCTTCAGAGCTACATCCTGAATGGCCAGAGGTGCAAAAATGGGCCTGGTTGGGAGAGTAGCCATGTCCTTTTTAGCAGGTGTTGTTCCTTTAAGAAATACTTGTTCACCTCCTGCCAGTTATTGCTATAAGCATCAACGTACATCAGTGAGAAATTAGACAGGGTCCTCTGTCCTCTCTTCAGAATATATGTACAGAGGTGTGTGATTATAGGTTTCTTATATGGGAAGGAGTGTTTGTTGCCACCCAGTAATCCTAACTACATTATGCTGCAGTCTGCCTGACATCTTTTGGGGTCATAGCCTGTTTGTGTTGCAGGAGAAAATCATTTCATATCACTGAGTTCTTCTAGGGCTGGATGAACCCTGATCTTCCCAGTTACTTCTCCACGATTAATTACCCTAGTCCAACCCTTGCCCTTGTATGTTCACAATTTATTGTTCTTGGTTAAGTGCAGTCTATAAATGTTCAATTCTAACTATTTTTCAGGCCTTCATTTCCTTGTGAGGGTTCCTGTGTCTCATAAAACACACACACACTGTACATTCTCCTTTTCTTCTATCGTCAGTTTAATTCTTAATCTCCCCCCCCCCCCCGAAAATAAAAAGAAAAGTACAAAGCCTCTGACTCTGGGCATGCTTGGTTCATTCCAGAAATAGACAGGGGGTCAGTAAAGAACAAAGAATGTGATGGAGAACGAGCTCAGATAATGGTCGGTGGTGACCTTCTAGGACTAACTTATCCTGTCTGGATGCAACTTTTCAGTTTAAGCTCTGAGAGTCCCACATCCTCAGAAATCCCTAACTCGGAAAAACTGGATTGTTGGGTCATCTTACATCTGCCCTTTCACTGCAGAGTACAGAAAAATCTGTAGGGGCCATCAAGATTAGAAGCAGAAAGACTCCAGAGTAGTCACTCTTGTTCTGGACAAAAGGTGATCTGATTCATTTTTTAAAAATATATGTTTGAAAGGGCAGATTTATTATAAAAAGACAAGGATATATGTATAGAAAGGATATTTGCACAGACACAACAGACAGAAAGAGCTGCTCGTGAAAGGGGCGGCAGCTTTGTCGAAAGAGAGGCCTGCATAGTCCCAGGTGGACGGATTTGGAAGGAGCTGCTGCTGCTGCTTTGCAAAGGGAGAAGTTTGGTAAAGAGAAGCACCTGCAGTCTCAGGCGGGCAGGGCAGTTTCCTGCCGATCTGATTGATTTTGATGACAGAACTGACTGTTGGATGACAGTTGTAAGAGTTCAATAGGACTTGTGAGTTTTCAGAACTGAGCTACTGGCAGACTGCAATTCCATTTATTGACGTGAAGAATACTGTAGAAAGAACAGATTTGGTGTTTGTGTCAAGATGTCCATTTCAGACAAGTCTGAGGTGCCCATTAGACATCCAAGAATTTGTATCGAATATACAGTTGGATAAGAGTCAGGAGATCAGGGATGAGGTTTTATGTCCCAAACACTATTTTTCTTAGAGAATATGTTTTGCTATGAAAACTGAAGTGGCTGGAAGGAAACTGGTAGGGATTTAGGAAATGATTACCATCTTCTACAAACAACCACTGGGAATGAGAAACTGCTAGAATGAGATCTAACAGGCCATAGCATTCTCTTCTGTTGAATATAAACTACTTTACAGAACATATGGAGACTAGATGAGGCCAACAAGAACAGAAAGGGGCCCAAGAACTGAGTCAAGAACCTGCAGAGTACATTTTGGAGTACAGCTTTCCTATTTCTTAGCAAGGCTGTGAAGTATCCTGCTGGTTTTATCTGTACTCAAAATTTATATGCTGACATCTGAACTCCCCACATGAGGATGGTATTAGGTGGGGTCTTTAGGAGGTCATTTTGCCAAAAGCTTGGAAAACTCATGAATAGGATTTATAAGAGACCCCGGGGAAGCTCTCTGGCCCCTTCCTTTCTGCCACAGGAGGATGCAATTAAAAGAGCAGTCTATACACCAGAAACTGAATCCTGAACACACACTGAATCTGCTCTGGTGGACTCCTTTGGCACTCTGATCTTGGACATCTCAGCTTCTAGAACTGTGAGAAATAAATATTTAAATCACCCAGCCTATGGGATTTTTGCTATAGTAGCCTGAATTAAGACACAATTTTATGAATACAATTACTTAGTCAATCCCTTCTCATGAAAATTTATTCTCATTTACTATTATATTGTACTACAATAAATGGTTCTTGTGTGATCTCATTTAATCCCATCATAGACAAACCAATGATCACCAGAATCTCACTTTTCCATTTATCTCCTCCAGTCTGTGTGAGACAAATTAAGAGTAACAAGAAGCAAATTTCGCTTATACTACTTTTATGAAACATCAAAGTTAATTAGTGGGCATATTTATCCATTTGAACACGGGTTTTTGAAACCTTTTTATAGTTAAGTTATAGTTGTAACGTTTCATGAGTCCATAAAAACCAAACTAAAAGATCTTACAATTTACAGCCTGCAGAATAAAGATCTGGGAAGGAGGAAGGTAGTATACAGACTCTCGAGAGCCATTATTACCGGAAAGGGAGCTTCTCCCCCAAAAGCTGGATCTGTCAGAAACCAGAGTTTAGACAAAATTAAAGATCTGATATATAACTGACTCCCTTAGTCTAGCTTTTGAAATTTAAAAGTTCTACTTAGCCGGCGTACAAGCTACAGGACAAACGAAAAGCCAAGACCAACAGGTTTAGGGGGTTGACGATAATCGCCTTGGTCTGTCTCCAACTACAGAGCCAAGGCAAGGGCTTGGGGCTTTCTGCAAACTCCCAACATCAAAGAGGACAAATATGCTAAGAATTTGTACCTCGTTTTTCTGGCAACGTCTTATCTTAGTTCAGTTGGCTTCCAGGAAGGGCCAGACCCCGCAATTTTGCGAAGCCTAGAAACCCCTCATCAGCTTCGCGGCCACGCTTAGCCTCACCCACTTACGTAGCCAGTGCTCCCTGATTGGCCGACTGCGACAGGCTTCAAGATACACAACGAAAGTGACCAGTAACTGCTCAAACCTCAGGCTCTGAAAGCCCCAACCGTTCGACTGCACCACAAAACAAAGCGTACAGCTCTTTTGAAGAGAGCGTGAGTGGCTCTGAAAAGAGCCTTTAGGTAGGTAAGTAATAATGGAGACAGAGCTTCAGCCGCCGAAGCCGTAGAGCGTGCGACCCTGGCGCTTGAGCGCGTAGACCACGTCCATGGCCGTGACCGTCTTGCGCTTGGCGTGCTCGGTGTAGGTGACGGCGTCGCGGATCACGTTCTCCAGGAAGACCTTGAGCACCCCGCGCGTCTCCTCGTAGATGAGCCCCGAGATGCGCTTGACGCCGCCGCGCCGGGCCAGGCGGCGGATGGCGGGCTTGGTGATGCCCTGGATGTTGTCGCGCAGCACCTTGCGGTGGCGCTTGGCGCCTCCCTTGCCGAGACCTTTGCCCCCTTTGCCACGACCAGACATGACTACAACAACGTCGCCAAAACACAGCAAGTGGTGTGACCTGCTGCTGGGTCACGTATAAATACACGCCGGCTCGGACCTTATTGAGAACCGAAAGAGCAGGCGGGAAAGGCGGAACCGCCCCTGGTTCCTCGCTCCTCCCTTTTCTGAGCAGAGAACCAAGAATTTTGTAGGAGGAACACAGTATAAATAGGTGCACTCGTGACCTCTAATCTTTTTTTCCCCTCTCCTTGCTATTTGAATCTGGAGCTATGTCTTTAGTTGGGACTTATGTTTCAGGATAAAGCTCTGTACTTTCTCATTCAGGAGGTAGTAATTAACAGCTGTGAAGGCTAACTGAATATGCCTGTCAGAAGCAGGACCAAAGAAATTCAGCATTTGCCCCTCTCAAATACCAAGTTGGTCTAAGGGCTGGCAAAATGGACGACCCAGTATGCCTTGTGGATATTAGAATTGGTTTGAGCTGATGATACTTAAACCTCAGGGGCAGGAAAATAAAAAAATCGGTCTGCTGTAAGGCATATTTATACTTTTAAAGAACATTTCAAATTTGTGTCTCCCGCTATTCTAGGAACATTGCAAGTTACCCGAGAATTTTGGTGCAAATTTTCCATCAACCTTACCATGTTTATTAGGCTTTTCCTGATTACCTCTTATAAGTAGCTGCAGGACTGCCCCCAACATTTGTCTTTTGTATTTAATTGGAGATAGTATTTAAGGGGGGGGGGGCTTGAGCATATTGGGGATGTCTTACTCAGTTTTCCTGGGTATCTCCCACATATATGTAATGTACCTGCTTTTTATTATTAATATGTGTTACTATGGGGGGTCTCAGTTAAGGAATCACAGGGTAGCTGGAATGTATACCTTCTTTACACTGTGTGACCTTGAAACCCGAACTTGCCTTCCTCTGCAAAACTGGGATAACCAGGTAGTGATGGGAACTTCCCAAAAATTTAGGGTGGAAGGCCTCACAAAGACAAACCCCAGAGGCGGGGGAAGGAATGATTAATAGAATATAAACTAGCTAGGGAAGTTTGCAGATATCTAGATGAGATCAGAAAAGATTATCGCCCAGAGGTGAGGGCAGAGAGGATTACTGATTTTAGAAAAACAACCCAATTGTCCATAGAGCAATCATTTCCATAGTAATTCCATCAACGACGAACTGCAAAATTCAGTTCTTATCCTTTAAGACTGTCCCGTTGTCTATGCAAGCATCTCTCTTCTTGATCTCCTTTCCTCAATATGCTTGAAACTTGATGAGTGGGAATGTCTGCTTAATTCATCCTGAGGGATCCAAGAACCCCATACACCAAACCTCATCATCTGAATTCCATCATAAAGTGTTGGAACAGAGATGGGGATAATGACAATCAAGAATCTGCCTAGAGTTGGGGTATTTCCTGGAACTCTCATTTCAGACTCATTCTCGCAGCATGGTACCAGCAAAACAAATACATATGTACTAATGAAATTAGAAAAAGCATTGTGTTTAGTAAAGTACACAGCATTAGTGGAGTCTGTTTTGTCTTTATATATGACATGTTAAAATGTAAACTGAGTCATATTAAAAGTTTTAAGTATGAGTCGAACTTAATTTGAATCAGACAATATCCAATCTAGCAGGTAGAAAGGTGCTTTGAGATCTGTACTAAAGGAGACTCTTAAAGCCAGAAGGTAGCAAGAACAAGGAATTTATACTTCTCAAAAAAAAGCTGGTTGCTTATAACAAGGTTACTTTTCTGCAAGATTACTGGGCACTAACTGACTGCGCTCTGGAGTTCCAACAAGGTTACTTTTTTTTAGGGGCTGGCTTGCATCCTGTCTGGAAGAGGTGAAGCCATAATAAAGTCTTATTTTGGTAGCATGGGCCTGTCCCAGTCTTCTGTCATTCCTGCAGCCAAGAATGTAGGACAAGTCAAATCTCAATAATACTGGCAGTCAATTATATATTGTTGTATTAAATCTCCCTAAGTCAACTCCACTGATAGTGAGTGCTGGGAGGACTGCTGAAAATTACATCTGAAAAATGCATCCTGAATTGATATTCTCCTCTTCTGAGAGTCCGGGTTTGGTTTTGTTTTTATCTGAGTCTGTAATAAGCCAAACTAGTTCTAAACTCGAACTGCATTACGTATAGACTGAGCCTGTTGCTGAGCATCACTCCAAGTCCTGTGAAAGAAAAACTAACTGAAAACCTTCAAAAGTCGTTTAAAAGACACAGTGTATACTTTTAGTGCTCCCTTTCCTGTCTAGCCTGTCACTCCTTTAATAGAAGGCAATAGAACTCTGATGCAGATATTAAAATGTTGGTAATATCCTGGCCAAAATTGTCAATCTATATTTTCTTCATAAATGTGAATTTCTCTCATTCTTTAAAAATAAATTCTTTTAATTCTAGACTGAGCAAAACCTAGGCAATTAAATGATGTGAAATGAAAAATAACTTTAAAAGGTCATTTTTTTTTTTCACTTTAACTTTTTAAATTGCATAGAGATAAGGGGAAATTGTATGCAGTTTAGGAGAATTAGTAGCATTTCTCAAATGCTATGTGTCCAAAAATATCTCATATTTGTCCCATTAACACATCTAAGATGGAGTTACCCCTACTTTTTCTGATATTGATTTGTCTAAAATTACCAGTATGTGGCAAAGCTTGCTTCTGTATTCTAATGATATTCTGTGCTGCAGGCTTCCGGATTATTTCCCTGAGATGGTGTTAATCTGAACAATAAAGAATGTTTATGCTTTGGTGGATGGGATGTTTGTGCTATGATGGATGGGATGAGAAGTTCCCTCATACAACCTGTATAAAAAACCTCATCATTTCTGTAATTTGGGGCTCAGCCTTTTGGATCTGACCCCATTGAACCCACTAGTGTGACAAATAACTCTATCTACCTCTCTGAGTCCCCTCTTATTTCTCTGGGAAATTGCCATAACTCTTCTAACAGACTCAGAGTGACAAAGGTCTGTGGCAGGCAGAGTTGTCAATACCAGTCTGGAAAAATAACATGTTTAACACAACAGGTACATAGCCAACCTTAGCATTTTTAAGAATTGTAAATATTTTGTAAACTAAAAACATTTAAAACTCAGGGATGCACGTAAGCCTAAGATAGTTTCAGTTTGTTAAAAAAATTACATGATTCTACCACACTGTATTACATCTCAGGCTAAGGGGCAGCAAAAAAGATTTTATGGGAGATGTAGGGAGAAATGGCAACGGAAATGGAAATGGAGCGCGACACATAGGTTACCACCCTACAGTTCTAATTTGAGTCCTGTTATCGGTTACCAACTCAAATCAAAGAGTTTAAAGACATGCAATCTTTCTTCTCAAGCAGAACAAACGCCATGTGTATCAAGGTCCCTGCAGTATTGAAACCTCAACTCCCCCCAAAACGAAAGGGGAGAACAATTAACAAGTTTGTAAAATATGGCCCAACGTCCTAGGGATCCATGGCTCCAAGTACTGAAAACATACAAAGCAGACAAAAGGTTTATGGGAAATACGAGAAGCATCACAGCCGCTTTTGGTGAAAAAATTGGGTGGCTCTGAAAAGAGCCTTTGGGTTTAAAGCTGGCACTTACTTAGGGGGGACTTAAGCCCGCTCGCCACGGATGCGGCGCGCCAGCTGGATATCCTTGGGCATGATGGTGACGCGCTTGGCGTGGATGGCGCACAGGTTGGTGTCCTCGAACAGACCCACCAGGTAGGCCTCGCACGCCTCCTGCAGCGCCATCACGGCCGAGCTCTGGAAGCGCAGGTCGGTCTTGAAGTCCTGCGCGATCTCGCGCACCAGCCGCTGGAACGGCAGCTTGCGGATCAGCAGCTCGGTGGACTTCTGGTAGCGCCGGATCTCGCGCAGCGCCACGGTGCCGGGCCGGTAGCGGTGCGGCTTCTTGACGCCGCCCGTGGCCGGCGCGCTCTTGCGGGCCGCCTTGGTGGCCAGCTGCTTGCGGGGCGCCTTGCCGCCGGTGGACTTGCGAGCCGTCTGCTTGGTGCGAGCCATCCTTACAACGTGACAGTTGCCTTTACTGCAGAAAGTGAAAACACATTGCGCAGCCACCTTAATTTATAGGGCCAGGATAACAACTATTGGGCCCAAACTCATTCAAAAATCCCCGCGCCTTCCCCTGATTGGGCCATCTACCGGAAGTGCCCGGATGAAGAACTGCTTTCGGATTGGTGAATTCACTCCTTATCCTGCCTCTCGCCATCGCTGACGTCATTTTATTTACTCTGTTCAGTGGGAAATAAATCTTACACTATGTGCTTCAGCATCTTAAAATTTAAGGCTAGGTATTCACACAATACGTCGCGTTAAGTCCTAATGGGTGATTTCACGCGTCTAAGAAGAAAACTACTAAAATTGCTGATGGATGCTTAGGGACATTTATGTATGTGCTTGTTCAATACATTCAGAATTTTCTTGGGTGTGGCACGAATACTGTGGGTATAATACTCTTGATCTTCATCAAGATCAAGAGTGATAAGCATCAAGGGACTTCTTTCCGTAGCAAAGGTGTTTTGAGTGTTCCTTAACCCTCTTAGTTTATCTTTAATAAAAGGCCAGTGCCCTCCATTATAGAATTTCCCACAGGTGCATAGTGTGTAAGTAGTACTTGCAATGGAACAAATAAAGCAAGCTTAAAAACCACCGCTTTAACAGAGAACAATGTTGCTTTTGTTGGAACTAAAGCCGCAAGGCTAGAGACTGATTTAACCACAGGTACATTAAATCCAAACCTGTTCTCCATACTTTAATGTCCAAGAAAGTGTAAAATACTAGAGCGTTGACATTCTATTAACATTTAACCAGAATATCCGAACATTTGACATGGATTATAGCATGACAGCTCTCTCACTGGAAAAGGTGGGTGGCTCTTAAAAGAGCCTTTGTACGTTACGGGAAGTCTTGATGCTGGAGGAAAGCGACGTGCAAAGTCGTGTAAACGCTTTACTTGCCCTTGGCCTTATGATGGCTCTCGGTTTTCTTTGGCAGCAACACTGCCTGGATGTTGGGCAGGACGCCGCCCTGCGCGATCGTTACACGCCCTAAAAGCTTGTTGAGCTCCTCGTCATTGCGGATGGCCAGCTGCAGGTGGCGCGGGATGATGCGCGTCTTCTTGTTGTCGCGGGCCGCGTTGCCCGCCAGCTCCAGGATCTCGGCCGTCAGGTACTCCAGCACGGCCGCCAGGTACACCGGGGCACCGGCGCCCACGCGTTCCGAGTAATTACCCTTGCGCAGCAAGCGGTGCACTCGGCCGACGGGGAACTGCAGGCCCGCCCGAGAGGAGCGAGTCTTGGCTTTTGCGCGAGCCTTGCCGCCTTGTTTACCCCGACCAGACATGTCGAACGATAGCAAAACCTAAACGCTCCTAATGAGAAAGCAAGCAGAGTATAACTAAAATGGACGGCAAGAGAACTATTTATACTAACTGGAGGTAGGCTGTGCGGCACTCTCTTATTGGCTAACATAGGAGAACCAATGGGAAACTAAAGCCTGCATCCTTCATTTGCATATAACCCTTCTTGTGAGTTTTGTTTCCCATGTCTTATCTGATCTAATGGGGTTATACCTTAATAGCAATAAAGTTGATTAGTTTGAGTATTTGGGAATACTATCTTTTAATGTAATCAGGAGTGAAAGTGATTATCTTTGTTTTTGTTAATGGCACTTTTTAGGTATTGTGAATTATGATGGGGGAGGAATGAAGTCAGAACAAATTCTACATAGGTAAAGTTTAAGAGGTACCTGTAAGCTCCTGTACCCTACAATGGGAAACAAGGCGGAACGAGCAAACCTAGATAATAAAGTCCCTGATTTAGGACTGAATATCTTCTACTTTATTCATAAGGACTTTGGTGATCATCTTAGAGACATGTAAATTAAGTGCAGTGCTCATTTGTTAAGCTGCAAAAGTGACAGACCCACAGCTATTATAGACCTTGCCATTGCCCAAGGAAACACTTGGGTTAGAAGCCAAGGCCTTACAGCTCCTGACTGGAAGTATTATCATCATTATCCAGTGTCTTTCCCAATCCTCCTAATTTCCCTGTTTTCTCACTTGCCCAAAGCACACAGGGTTTCTAGTCATTTCAGAATACTACTGTCACCCCCTAAATCTCACTATATCCCTCATGATTAGAGGACTAAGAACATTGCAGCACACAAGCTCAAGGAGTTTCAAGACTCTTTTGAAATGAGAGAATAAATATTCATCCAATGGCAGAGAAATATTCAAAATTGCTGTATAAATTTAAAAATACTACACTAATGTTACCATGAGTATTTGCCTGGTCTTAATTAACCACTCACATGGACGAATATAAAAATCAAGAGTACTGGGCCTTCCCTGGTGGTGCAGCGGGTTAAAGCACAGCACTAAAAAACTTAAGCCACTTCCACATGAGTTCTATCCCCACCTGCCCTGGAGGAGATCCACATGGCGCAGCCGACTTCTCCTGACCCTCCCGCTGCTCCTCTCAGCAGTGTAATTCCTAGATCTGCCTGCTCTACTCAGGCTCTGTCTCTGGTGAATCCTCTCACCCTCTGCATCTCTGGCCTATACCCCAGTTCTGTATAAATAAATAAATAAATCTTAAAAAAAAAAAATCAAGAGTACTGAGAGGTATCTTGTTCTTTTCCTACGATCTCTGTAGTAGCAGTAGATGGTTCCCACACCTGAGCAGTTAATTATTTAGGAGATTTTTTTGAAGGTTGAAGCCTAACTGTCAGCTTATTACCACATATGATGGTGGAAGGAACAACAGCTGGGTATGACAAAATCTAATTCTAAAACATCTCTGTCAGAAAACTTTGTTTTCATACAGGGAATCTGAAAGGGGAGTTTTTATTTTGCCTTGTATAGAATTTTTTATGTTCTCTGAATTTTTCTTTCAAAGATATTCAATACTCTTTATTTTCTATCATCACTTTCTTAACCACTTATAGCAATAAACACCAATAACCACTGACAGTGTCTTTGAAAGGTTTTTGGTTTTGTTTTTTTTTTTTATTCATACAGAACTGGGGTACAGGCCAGAGATGCGGAGGGTGAGAGGATTCACCAGGGACAGAGTGGGGAGCAGAACAGGCAGATTGACTAAGTACACTGCTGAGGGGAGCAGTGGGCGGGTCAGAAGAGGTCTGCCTCTCCATGTGGTCACCTCCAGGGCAGGTGGAGATAGAACTCATGCTGAAGTGGCTTAATCTTTTTAGTGCTGTGCTTTAACCCACTGCACCACAAGGGAGGGCCCTGAAAGGTCATGGAGTTAAAAAAAAAATAAGAATTTCAGAAGACTAAAAGGGAGGGCATGAAATCCTGAAGATGAAATAATAATGCATACAAAAATAAAAATTTAATCAATACATTAATTCACAAGAGAAGAATGAATCTGAAGGATCTGTGAATCACAAGGATCGAGAGAACATATGAGGTAGAATGCACTCAACATTTAATTACCAAGTACCTGCTAAATGTCAGACTGTTCTAGACCATGGAACCCAGCAGTTAGTGAAGCAGACACCTACCAGTTGCCTTGTGATGTTTTCCCAGTGGTAAGAGGTACACAGTAAACTAAATTCATTGTACAAGCTTAGAGTATATCTTTTGGTAAGGGGTGCTATGAAGGGCAAAAATAGGAAAATAAAGTAAGGAAGGAGAATACATGACAGACACAGGGATGGGCTGGGGAAATGTTACCAGGGAAGCGCCATTTGAGTTCAGACCTGGAGGTAGCTAAGGAGGAAGTACAAAGACTTCAACAACAAGGAAACCCAGAGGTATTCGAAGCTGAGGTAATGTGGAGTTAAGGGCCCCAAAATAGAATTATTCTAATTTCCTGAACAAGCTGTAGAATATTTTGGATGAAGCATCAGGTGTATAGAGGGCTGGGTAAAATAGAAGCAGCTGGAGTGCAAAAGAAATCACTCCATACCTCTTAGGGTTCTTCTAGGCAGGAAAATAATCAGCCATCAGATAGGTTGATAAGAGAAATAGTGCCAAAAGGAACTCTTAAAATAACTTATATGTGTCTTTTCTACACAGAAGAGAAACAGTATATATGACTGAGTACCTCGCCTGTGTGGCAGTAGATGCCATCCTAAATAGTTTAGCTAAGATAAGGAAGGTTGAGAGGAGAAAGGCTAAAGTCAGTTATGGTATTTACTAGGGAAACAAATGACAAGTATTCAGAGTTAATTCTGCTTGGGGGCAGGGCGGTGGCAAAATAAATTATCCTATGTGTGAGGAATTTACGAGATTGTAAATTCTAATTATGGAGCAGATGAGAAATACTTGTCTTGTGCTTTGGAAGCTGGGGCATACAGGACAAAGAAAAGAGATTTCACATGACAGACAAGAAGGGAATGGCCTCCTCTTAGAATAAAGATGAGATTTTGAGAGAACATCCTTACTGATAAACCTAGAGCAGAAGGCAAATCTAAACGAAGTTTGTCCAGGTCATAAAAGTCAGAAGCAGTGAATGCTTCAGTTAGAAAATGAACAGCAGCTTAGGACATGATCTTGATTTAAATTTGGGGAGGGCAAAGTATTTGGGCAATATCATATGATTCTTCGACCCTTCCGGGCTCAACTCAAAACAATGCGCTTGCTTTAAATGATGGTCACAGACCTTAAGATGCTCAGAGAGCCTTCACTGACCTCCAGTTCCCACACAGTTACGACAAAAGCCTACTATTGGCCTGTTGAGGAAAGTCGACCTGACCTTTTTGGAGAGACTGACCCCACATTGCCTTCCCCATTGAAAAGAACTGGAGTAGGTCTTCCAGGGAGAGACCCTTACAGCGGAAGTATAAATATAAGTACCAAATGTCACTTCAAGCCATCATTTAGAGCCCCTCCCATAAAATAAACCTTTTGCAGAATTTTTGTTTGTTTTGCAGTGTAGATTTTGTTACTGGGCACTGGCCTCAGTTTCCCTCAGCCAAAAAAAGGAAATAGTTCGAGGAAAAAGAAAGTGGCTGAGTTTGTTGACAAATGAGAGGGCAGCAGTCTGGGCATCAGAGTCATGTCTGAAAGACCACCATCCTGCTCTTTGGCAGGGTGTAGTTTTATTTATACAAAGGGAAACCGAAATGGGGAGGTAGGCAAGGGTTTGCAAAGGGGAGGGCGAAGGGCTCACCATGGAGTTGGAGACAGGTGGGGACCAGCTTTTTTTTTTAACAGCTGCTGTTGCCCTTTTCTTTGGAATACAAGACAAACAAGGAAAGAGAAATTGCAAGGGCTAGGGAAAGGCAAACTTTGCAATGGTTATCGGAGAGACTAATCTAGTCATAAAGATGTCCTTGTTGGCCCTCCCTGGTGGCGCAGCGGGTTTAAGCACTGCACTAAGAAGCTAAAGCCACTTCCGCATGAGTTCGATTCCCTCCTGCCCCAGAGGTGACCCACATGGCGTGGCAGACCTTTCCTGTCCGCCCACTGCTCCCCTCAGCAGTGTACTTCCTAGATCTGCCTGTTCTGCTTTCTGCTCTGTCTCTGGTGAAACCTCTCACCCTCCGCATCTCTGGCCTGTGCCCCAGTTCTGTACGAATAAATAAATAAATATTTTTTTTTAAAAAAAGATGTCCTTGTCAAAGGTAAAAAAAAAAGTTGTTAATGTTTATCTGAGAGGCCAGTCATTTGTAACTGTATCATAATCCCCATTCTCTGTCGTGGCAGTCCATTGCTATGGGAGAAAGGGGCATTGCATCTTCTGATTGCTTCCTGTTGAATGGGCTTGTCTCAGGAGGTTTATTGTGTGAGGCCTGCACTTGCGTGGACCACAGTTCCTGACACGATGTTTTTGCTCTCTTACAAAGCCAGAATTAAAACCTGCTTCAAAAAGCCAAAGAGAAGCAATAGTAGAGACTGTCACGATGTCAAGAATCTCATTCCATTGAATTACAGATGAGAATTAATATTCTAGTCACCCTAAGTCGAGCAATTCAACGGGTGTTTGGCATACATTGTGAGAACGGCTTGATGAAATCCTGTCAGCAAGTTCTCAAAATCAGTAAAATCTAGGTCCTTTATTTTCAAAAATACGTACAAGACAGATGTTGGGTAGGGGGCTAAAGGGAAGGGAACAGTAGTTGTTCCCAGTAACAATTCAAACTTCAGGAGCAGTGAAATTAAGACAATTTGATGCCAACTGGTCTGTCTAAGAATAACATGTTTACTTATAAATCACAAAACTACTATGTGACTTCAATATACCTGAGGGAAAACTAGCAAGGAGGTTAATGTTGAAGGAGGTTGGAACACACCGCCCTAGAATATATTGCTCTGTCATAATGACAATTAAAAAGAACCTGAAAAACAGTGACTGCAATAAAATGTCAACTTGTTT